CAGTCTGAAACGCTTCTGCCCAGCCTGTCTTGTCTGTGTATGATCCCTTCAACCTGTTAGATGTTCTGCATGTAACATGTTTGAATGTTGATGTGATCAGGGTAGATTGCATAGTGCACTGCAGCAAAGAAAGGTTATAAATTCACCACAGAAAATATGCAGTAGACATCATTGTAGGGTGTTGATCGTGTGTTCTGTCTTTGGGTTGCTTTGTTGACGAGATGCTGTATGTGTTCGGTTAAAAGATTTCCCGGAATCAGCCGTCCCTTCCAGCTCATGATGACTCAGGTATAATCCAATTGAGAATCGCTTGCGCTGACAATATCACATTTGCATTTGCGAGTTTATAGAAACTGATGTCCTTAACGAGGTTTTTGTGTGTTTAATCCTTTAATTCATTACTAAAGCGGTACATTTTAACAATAGCAAGACATGATGAATCAAACTAAATTTGCTGAAATCTCTTTTCCCTGAACACTCAACAGAGTCTTTCCTGTCAGTCTGCATGTATACAAAGACCAGTAAAAAATAATTACAGATAAAATACAAGCAGGCATTGTGTGCAAACAGTGGCTGGTTGCATAAACTGCTTAGATACTGTCATCTAATTTTGTTCTGGCTGTCAAGTCAACTACATAAAAATGCTGAATAGCCAAACGTGATTCTGAAAAGCAAGACTGATCACCCCTTGGCTGACTTCTAATTGATCAAAATAGTTCTTAAGACACAGTCTGAACATAGTGACCTTCCTCAAACTGCCTGATAAACTAGTAAAATGGATTGTTCCGCATGGACTGTTGGCTGAATTAAATTAAATAAAACTTTGTATTGACTTGTAAAGCCACGTTTTGTCCTTTCAGTGCTTTTGTCTGGTACAGTAATGCAGTGTCTTTAAAGGATTTTCATTTTGGGACTTTTATCAGCAAATGTTGATAGATTTATTTGGATATCATATCATTAGATTAATTTTAGAAATATTACCAGCTCTAAAATTTTGTAGCAGATTCATTTGTAGGTTGAACAGAGAGCACCTTTGCATCCAGAGATAGACTTTAATCCTGATGTTTTTGGCAGGCCGTTCTGAAGAGAGTCAACAAGTTACAGACACACAAACCTGGACCTCTTTAGTCTTTTGCTTAGTGATTTGCAAATTTTAGAAACCTGAAAGATGCCCGAGGCATCTGGCTGACAAGTGTTTTCTAATTCTGGTCCCAAAGACGGTCATTTTTCTCTACAATTTTCATTTCCCTAGAATTATTGCTTTTATCAGTAGAAATGGGGTTTAAATACAATTAATATTCAGTAGTAATATCAGTTTAACTCCTCGGATGAAAACAAAATTTGAACTGAATTGAGCTGGATGATAACACTAATTTGCAACATTGACACTGTTACTGAATTGAGCTGAATAATGATACTGTAATCTTCTGTAGAGCTGCTGTAAAGCTGACGTTGAATTTGGTTCAAAATTGATGAATTTTACAACATTAATGGTGTTATTGTCCTGGTTATTGCTGTGAAGTTGTTTTAAAATGATCTGTATTATATAAAACGCTAAATAAATAAATAAATGTGACTTGACTTGGAAAGACATAAAACCCCATTTTGACTCATATTGCTAGATGGCAGATCCCAGATGAGTTTCAACCATGCAGAGTTGATCAATTTGGATCACACTGCAAAAAGCCCACAAAACCTGCAGGACCCAGTTGCATGAAAACCAGAACTTGTCTTTCCAAAGAGATATACTATATACAACTACAGCCATGTATCGCACATTGTTATGTTTCCTCAGGAAACAATACTTTGTCATTGAGGCGATGACACTTGCAAGTAGGGGTTTAGGAGAAAAATTGAAAATGACACTTCATGCCAAAAGGGTTGTCTCGAACCTGTCTCGAACCAGTCCAGTTCGGTCAGGATCTTGTCCACATATCTGCATCTGGTTAGCGTTCTATTGATCCTGTGAAATATAGATTACTTCTGACCTTCTAATTAACCTCTTAATCCTCTGTCCACAACCCCGTTTGTCTTTAGAGTTAGGAGTTAAGCAGGAATGGCAACCCTTTTTCAGTTTTTCTCCTAAACCCCTACTTCATCGTGTCATCGCCTCAATGACAGAGTATTGTTTCCTATATCTCTTTGGAAAGACAAGTTCTGGTTTTCATGCAACTGGGTCCTGCAGGTTTTGTGGGTTTTTTGCAGTGTGATCCAACTTGATCAACTCTGCATGGTTGAAACTCATCTGAATTGCACTGTTAGCGGATCATGAAAATAATAGATTTGTTTGGTTCAGTTGGGTTGGAAGATTTGATTGTCTTTATGGAGCTCATTAGAGAGAATATTTCTTAAATCTAGAGAATTTTGCCAGTACGCTGAATGAAGATATTCTGCCAGCAGTCCTAAACTGACACTGGTCTTCATTTGCTGCAGATTATGAAATTAAGATGATTAGTTAATTGATCGCTGCCCTTGATTTGCTCTAAACAGTGGCTGAATTATGTCTAGATCAGTGACCATATTGATCAGTTATGTCTAGATCACTAATAGTATTGATCAAGGCCTCTTGCCATGACAGCTTGTAGAGTGGATTCTCTTGTAAATCACATCGAGTATTTATGAGTCCCTCGCTGTGGGCCTTTTGTCTTTGTGTTGTTGAGAGTCATCGGTTAGGCTGGGGAGTCTTGTAGGGATGAGAGCGTATCGTTTTGGTCTTTCCCTCAGGTCACCCTGGCCGTGTGTTTAAGGTGGCCTCAGCGAAGCTCTCTGCTCAGGTAACGCTGGGGACATCTGGCTCAGGAAGCCATGTCAACCCAGGCCCTATCCCCAGTGCTGTGAGGGCCACCATCCGAAAACTCAACATGACCAGCCTTGAACCCCGGTACCTCAAGTGATCGATCCCGGAGGGAATAAATTGGTGGAAAACACTCTAGTAGGTGCATAATCACACAGACCTGCCAAACTGAACACACAGTTCCTACATAAACCGGCGAGCCACCTGCTGAGACGCAGAGAGTGTGCGGTAGGGTTATGGAGGTGTTTCTGAAAACATATGAGTGTCAAGTTCTTGATTATTGGGTAACTTTAGGATCTCCAGTGGTCTGTGATGGATCAATTACCTTTGAGGTCTTTGAGGTTTTAAAGAGGCTACGGTTGAGATTGTGAGAGCACGTTTCTTCCTTGAATCTAGGAGTGTTATTTTTGGTAAGTTCATAATTTTTCTTGTCACTGAACTTCTTCAGTATGAGTTTACTTCAGTCCAAAGTAACTGTATGTGTTTGTTTTAAACCTGTTCTGATGTATTGGGTTTGGATGTTGTGGGGTAACATCTGCAGTGTCAAGAACATCAACAGTTATGGATATTTTTAATTACCCGGCATAGAACTCCTTTACAATTGGATAATGATCGTATGCAATTAGGTGGAAATGGCCAAAGTGGCGAAGGGCTGTCAAAGGGCACAGGCTCTAATCCGTAGCGCTAAATGTTTAATGCAGTTTAACTACCTTGATCTAGAGCACTTTAACCATTTAAACCCGGTCAGTTAGTTTAAAAAAAATAAATTGATTAAGAAAATCAATAAAGCATTGAAGAATTTCAAGATTCCTAACCTGAAAATGATTTTTACATGAGTGTTGTGGTATTTTGATGTATTATTTGCAATAGTATAAATGACATATACTGAAAATATATCTTCTTAATATTTGAAGGTTGTGTTTTGTTGAGCAGAGACAGATTGTTCAGATGTGTGCTAATGTGTCTGAATGTTGTTTTTGGCAGTTAAAGTCTTTATGAAATCCCTGTGAAGATTAGGCTTATGTGAGACGGTCACCTCATCAAAAAGTTAAACTGGTATCAGGCTGTGTTGTGGAGGGGCTTTGCCTCAGGAGCCCTTGCTAAAAACAGCTGTTACCTGCTGCTCACTTTGGCTGTCTTAACTCTCGGCGTCATAACCCAGTTTCCACCTCAGAGTTTGTTCGATCTCGGGCACTGTTTTATTGCATATTCCTGAAGCTTTCTAATGACTTCAGCATTCATACTCATACTACAGTATCTAGATAGTGATTGAAGCAGGGGAAAGTGAGAAAAATTTATAGTATTGTAGACTGGATAAAATAATTGTTTAATGGATTTCACACTCCATTTCAAAGTAACTTGTATTTATTTGAGCATATATAGAAGTTACATTGGTATTACAGTTAGGATTACAACAGAATGTCGAATTTTCATCAACAGTTTCCATTGTAAGTGCAAAACGGTCAACAAATTGAGTTTGTTTTTATGAACAAAAGCGTAAAAAGATGGTCTTCTACGTTCTGTAGTAATCAACAACAAGCCACAGATAATGTCCATAAATTTTAACTTGAAAGGTTACATTTATGTTTAATGTTATTCTTACAAATTAAAAATAAAATACTCTCTTCTTTTGGATTAAAATGTAAACTAAAATTGTATTTCATGTTTGAAAAGACCTAATTATTTCATCTGATGTCATTTTTCTTGAACTGATCAGTCAGTTCTGTATTCAAAGTGGCATCTGAGTGTGCATGTATTAAAGTGTGTTTTTCTATAGGACAATATCTGGACTGATGGCAGGAGAGGTCCACATTTTATTCATTACATGGTCATTTACATGAAGTTACGCATCAGTAAATGCCGTCCATGGCTGCAGCCCTCACGTGTCATGAGCTTAAGATCAGCGCTTGAAGCGCCTTATATTTGAAATCAATAAACTTCAGCTTTTGGGATTGTGATTATAATCTTGCCATTTTAGCTAGGCTTGGTCTGATGTTGATATAAGCATGATCTGATCTGTTTGAAGGTGTGTCATACACATGTATGACGGCCTTCCGTCCGAGGATATGTCGCCCCGGCTGTTCAACTTCTTGGATTTGTCCGGTGTCAGATTAAGAGAGCGTGCTCAGAAATCTTCCACTCAATTTGGCGGGGCGAGTGGGGCGGGTGGATTCTCCATATATAAGTGCTGGTGTCCTCCAGACAATTTTCACACAGTTTGCTTCATGACGTCATGTCAGCTCGCACGTCAATGCGACCACCAATCGCATTCTGTTCCTTTAGCTCAGAAATTTTTGTTGCATTAACTTGAGATTTTTTTTTGTGTGTGGTTGTGCCTTTTTTCGTAATGAATTACTGCATGTCAGACATGTATGACATAGGCCACGGTGTGAGTGGGGGATATGCGGTGCCCCCCGGAGGCAAGTACTGCATGTACGGTGGCGAAGGGCCCGGTTTCGCTCGCTGTGAGCCGCAGCCGTTACACCACCATCCTCCCAGCATGGAGCAGGCCAGGCCGCACAACCAGCCCTATGGGTGCCCGTTTACTGGGGGCAACCCTGTGTTCAAGAGCGAGTTGTGCTCCATGGACGTGCCTCTCAGTCACTATCACCAACCAGACTACTACTCTGACGGCAGGCCGGACTTCTCTCAGATGCAGTGGATGCAGGGGCCACACAAGAAAGGTATCGCAAGCTCTAGAAGAAGCATAGAGGTGCTGTTGTGAACTGGAGTTGTGTCTTTTCTTGTGCTGTTCTTAAGCTTATAATTGGCATGCTTTTAGGTGGCTGCCTGTTTGCCAGTGTAACAGTGTAATATCTCAGTCCAAAAGTAATGTACTCAGCAATCTGTGTTAAACTTCAGATGTGCTCAGTTGAGATCTGATTAAGTAATATTTTGATTTGTAACTATAAAAGTAGTGTTTTATCGTCTGATGTTTGAGGATTGATGAGATGTACAGCAGTTCTAAATAGAATCTGGATTCTTCACAAATGTGTCCAAATGTGTGATTGCAGTCGATAGTGAAGACAAAAGCTGCAGGAGATTTTCTCAGCTCAACTAACTTCACTTGTCTGAGACAATTTTTCAAAGACTTGTAATCAGCTGGTATTTTGGTGATTTGTTTTTGTAGTGGATAAATGAAGTCAGTTTCCTCAACTTCACACAGATGTTCTAGTAACCACATGTTTAGTTTATCTCATTAAAACTATCATTATAAAACGGATAGTTCCGGTCCTTGATTCTGATTGGTTGAGCCGCGTTCGAAGCTGTTGTAAATTACTCTACAAACATACACCTTTGTTTACTTCTGTGTGTTGCTCGGCAAACACTTTGTTGGAACCACAACTGTTTCTGAGGAACTACATTGTTTGGTGGAAGAATACTGTTTTTATTAATATCATTACACTTTATTTGCTCTGTTTTAGTCTGTGAAACCTTACTACGTATATGGAATAACCGTTTTATAAAAGCAATAAGCCCCGTGAAGCCATGGTTTACAGTGAATTTATAACAGCTAAGGGGGTTTTAGGCACTCTGCTTTGCGTTGTACCTAACAACGCCCCTTAGCTGTTATAAATTCACTGTAAACCTCGGCTTCACGGGGCTTATTGCTTTATCATGTTCCAGTAACTGTTGAACACACTATGATTTTATTTGAAACAGAACAACTTGGTTTGACACTTGCTTTGATAACTTCATTCTAATGCAATAATATTCAGCAATTTTTAAGTGTGGTTTAAGAGTCTGAATAGATGTTGCCGCCATTTTATATCTGTGGTCTCTGTTCTATCCTTCATTTGTGCCACTCAGAAATGTTAGTTAGCATGCAGTGATGGGGAAAGTTACTTTTAAAAGTAATGCATTACAATATTGTGTTACTCCATTAAAAAAAAAGAAACTGAATGTGTTACTTAGTTACTTTTTATGAAAAGTAATTTGTTACGTTACTTTTTGCGTTACTTTTTCTCATCTGGTCAGGGCTTGCTTGTTTGTTTTTAATATAAAAAAGTTCTATTTTTGCCAATTGTAAAAGCCCTTTCACACCAAAAGTGAAATGAATAAGCCTCAGGAATTCTGCATTGCATGAAGAATATTACACATGAGAAGAAACACTAAAAAATAAGTTATGTTAATCTAAAGTCATTTCTGCTTATTAGTATGGTTGAATTGGATCATTGAAGGTCAACAGAAAAGACACTGGTTAACAAAATGGGATTAAATGCATAAAGGATATTTGACATATTGTTATTTGACATATTTAATTATTGCAGGTTTGTGTCATATTCTGCGTTTGTATTTCACTGTTTTATTCATTTTGAGGAATACTGAATCTGTTTTTGTGTGAGTGAGATCATACAGTAAGATCATGTTCACACACAACACCTCTGCACTCACTCCTGATTTCTCTCAACATGAGGACAGGAGAGCTGTCAGTCAATACATGAGAAAATAAAGTAACCGACATTACTTTTTCTTGTAAATTAAAAAGTAATGTGATACTTTACTAGTTACTTGAAAATAGTAAACTGATTCCGTAACTCTCGTTACTTGTAATACATTACCCCCGACACTGTTAGCAAGTATTGGAAAAGCTTTTATTACAGTGTAATATAGTAAAGCTGCTGAATTAGTCTTCTGGACTGAACTTGAAGAGACTGTATTCTTCGGTATCCCTCTTTCAAAGACCTGTTGCAGATATTCGTGGAGCTACATTGTGTAGTATATTGATCTTCAGTGTAGGATGGAGGTTTGGGGTATTGTGTGTTGTATTGATTTGTAAGGACACATACAGAGGAACAGAAGGTTTGAGCTCATGTCCTCCCTCTGACCTCCACGAAAGACTCATTGATCATATTGATTCCTGAGCTTCTGCAAACTGCCTACACAAATGTGTGCCTTAAAACTTGTATTTCCCTGTGTTTCTGTCTCAATATAAAAGCATTCTGATAAAATTACCTCTTTTCCTCTAGTATCTTTTACTTCTCATCTCTCACATTGCTTTATTTTCTCTTATGCTTTTCTTTGTTTGCACAAAGTGCAATTTTATCTATTTTCATGCAGATATTTTCAGGTTAAATTTGCCTATTTTAATATAATGTGTTTATGACTGTACCTGTAACTTCTTATAGGGTACATACCAAGTTATCTGGACAAGGATGAGCTGTGTGTTGTGTGTGGGGACAAAGCGACTGGATATCATTACCGCTGCATTACCTGTGAGGGCTGCAAAGTGAGTGTTTGAATTAAGCTGTTCTCTTCTCTTATAAAAGCACACTGTAAGAAAAAATCTGTAGAAAAATGCAATGGTAAATTTACAGATATTCCCTAAACCTTAAAACACAACACATTTGACCCTATTTTTACATACTTAAAAAAACGTCTCGGGTTACGCATGTAATGAGACGCTGCTCCCCCTAGGGGGCACATTGGGGAATGCAGCCGCATGACCGGTGTCTGAAGCACGTGTGAAACAATGCCAATCTATTGGCCGACGGAAGTCTAAAAGGGCACCTGCTGAATATGTCATCCAATTAGCTGTCTGAAGGAGACATAGACAGGCAGGCCGAAGGCATGGCAAGGGGGCGCAGCGTCTCGTTCCCCCTCGGGGAACCATGGTTACATGCGTAACCCAAGACATTCCCCTTCTAGGGAACGCAACGCCGCGCCCCCTAGGGGGCAAATTGGGGAACGAAATCCAAACACAGGCGCATGCCTGTCCACCTGGTGGGAGAGCACCAAGGAAGCAACAGACAAACAAGGCCTTTCCTCAGAAAGGGACCATGCCACTGACGCCACGGGCCGCTCACGCAACTTGGCAGGGGAGATAGCGCTATCTAGGCGAGGGCTCAAGGAGACCACTACTTAAAGACCCTAGGAAGGGGAGCAGTCACTGAGCTAACACACAGATATCCTCAGATAGCTATGTACCTAGGAAGGTCTACCAGAGGGGGGGCTCGACTGAAACTACCTAGACCACAAAGAGTGGGCTGTCTACTTACGACCCAAAAGGCTATCCTCAGATAGCTATGCTATGTGAGCAGAACTAGCCTGGATACACAAGACCACTGAGGAGGCCTACTAGAAAGCCTCTAGAGGAGCTCAAAATATGCTACTTAAATCCCAGGTAAAGAGAGTAGCTGCTGAGCTAGAACACAGCTATCCTCAGATAGCTATGTCCCTAAGGTCTTATGAAGGCTTGTGGACCAGAATAGCATAGCCAAGATAGCCTTCCTACGGAGCTGCCCAGACCATAGAGAGTGAGCTATCTACTTACTACCCTAGCAGGGGAGATAGAACTGTCTAGGCAAGGGCTCAAAGAGACCGCTACTTAAAAACACTAATCTCGACTGAAACTACCTAGACCACAAAGAGTGGGCTGTCTACTTACGACCCAAAAGGGGAGACAGCACTGTCCAGGTAAGGGCTCAAAAGACTGCTACTTAAAACCCTAAGCAGGGGAGCAATCACTGAGTTAGCACATAGCTATCCTTAGATCGCTAGGCTGTAGGAAAAGGGACCACTCCATAAGAGGGCTCACCTCAACCGCAATGGAACAAGCTAGCCTCAGATAGCTGTATTCAGGTAAGCCCAACCCACCATACCAATAGCTGGAATATAACCACCCTCAGATGGCTATACTAAGGAGATCCCCAATCCACGTCAGAGCCTAGATAGCCTTCCTACAGAGCTGCCCAGACCACAAAGAGTGGGCTATCTACTTACTACCCTAGCAGGGGAGATAGCACTGTCTAGACAAGGGCTCAAAGACACCGCCACTTAAAGACCCTAAAAAGGGGAGCAGTCACTGAGCTAGCACACCGATATCCTCAGATAGCTATGTACCTTGGAAGGGCTACCAGAAGGGGGACTGACTGAAACTACCCAGACCACAAAATGTGGGCTGTCTACTTGTGACCCAAAGAGGGGAGACAGCACTGTCTGGGTAAGGGCTCAAGAGACCGCTACTTAGAACCCTAAGCAGGGGAGAGATCACTGAGCTAGCACATAACTATCCTCAGATAGCGAGGCTCTAGGAAAAAGGGGGCCCACTCCATGAGAGGGCTCACCGCAATTGCAGTAGAACACAGCTAGCCACAGATAGCTGTATTCAAATAAGCCGGTCCTGCCAAAAACAATGGCTGGAATTAAACCACCCTCAGAAAGCTATATTAAGGAGGTCCCCAATCCGTGTCAGTCCCACTGTAGGCTAGCAAAGCACCGTGCTATTGACCGAGCTCTCACAAGAGGGAGATCCAGATCGAGAACTTGTGCCAAGGGGAACCCAACCTAGTTATTAAAATCTAGGATAGAATATAGCTGCCCTCAGACCGCCATATTCCAGAGCAAAACTATATTCCCCATAACCACTCTAGGTGCTGAAAACCCTGGGAGAGAAAACTCGCAAGCTTCTCTTTCCACAGGATATTTAAATATATTCACATTAACATGCATATTAGAGAGGCACGGCCGAGCTGAATATAGCTCCGCCCATGATCTCGCAGGATCAGGGCTGAAACGACTCTGTGCTCATACTTCATCGTCATAACAACCCAACAATATCTGTGGCATCTGACAACCGTATAGAGAGGGTGTGTGGATGCCGCAGATCAAAGCAATGACCACGAGTTGAGATAACTGTGCCGTGGCAACGGCGGAACCGGGCCACGAGACACAAATGCTCTGTTCCGTATCCCTCGGGAATAGGAACAAACGCAAGCGGAGCCTAGACATCGTGACTCATCACAATGAGCGCGTAACTCTGAACGCTCGTGCTCTTCGCCGAGACAAACGCGAAAGCAGAACATGCCCTCGAGTGTTAGACTCCAAACACGGAGGCACACATTCCCTAAGGCGCTGCTCGACTCGAGCGCTATCCGCGGGATCCGATAACCAGAAAAAGGGCATCTCAACCCCGCTAATCCCGCGATCCGAGTATTCGTTGTGCCTTGGCAACAGCGGTACACGAACCGCGAGACACAAACGCTTGTCACCCATCTCTCGAGAAGAGGGACAAACGCGAATGGAGCTTCTCATTGGATAACACTCACAATGAGCGCGTTCAGAGCCCTCGAGCACTGAACGCGCAAGCTCCTGACCAAAAACAGATGACAGATAGATTGTGCGCGTCCTCAAGTGCCAGAAACCTCTGGAACGGAGGCGCACACTCTCCACACCGCTCACCTGCCTTGGTCTCTCACACGCACTTCAAAGAGATGGCTCCTGAAGACAGCAAAGAGGATGACGTATTCAGCAGGTGCCCTTTTATACTTCCGAGCATCCCGCCTATGACGTCATGGGCCAGGTGGGCCAATAGATTGCCGTTGTTTCACACGTGCTTCAGACACGGTCATGCAGGCTGCATTCCCCAATGTGCCCCCTAGGGGGTGCAGCGTTGAGTTCCCTAGAAGGGGAACTTATTATTTTTGAAATTGTGTTTAGTGACTCTAGAAGTGCAGAAATTCTAAGCTTCACTTAATCTTCAGTAGGAAAAATGCATTAGAGTTGGTAAGTTCAGTTCATTTCTGTCGGTTTCAAAACTCTGATTCAGAGATCAGAAGTCTTTTTAATGTAAGACAAAAATATATCTATGTAAATATTACTCATTACTTTGTAATATATTGGTCCATATCATCTAATTAGATTTTTATTAGATTTTTATTTTTTTAATAACATTTTAAAGGGGTCATATGATTGCTATTGACTGTTCAAATGCGGAGTTTTGCGCATCGTGTGTCTGTGTGTGTGTGTGCGTGTGTGTGTGTGCGCGCGCGAGCGAGCGAGAGAGAGAGAGAGCGCGAGAGAGAGTGCGAGAGAGAGAAAGAGAGAGAGTGCGCTAGAGAGCGAGAGAGAGTGCGAGAGAGAGAGCGCGAGAGAGAGAGAGAGCGCGAGAGAGAGCGCGAGAGAGA